CATTTCTTTACCATTTGCATGTCTGTGTGCCCGCCATGGTGGAACATTGCTACCAGAATTCCTATGATGATGACCAACCGAACAAGGCAAACTGCCGAAGCAATGACAGTGACCAGGATGGCATGTACCGGATAGGCAGGATCACCGGTGGTGGTATCTGTAGGCTCTTGGCCGGTGTCATCAGTGTCATCTTCTCTTGTGATAGCATCAGGGTCGGATTGGTTGTCCTGATTGTCCATGCGGAGGCCTAGGAAAAAAATGTGTTTCCTGTTTCTCGACCTACACTAGAAAAACCTGCTGACCCTGGACTTTTTTGGGGGGTGGATCCCTGGAAGGGACAATTTTTCGAGCTGATCAACCTTTTCTAGCTCCATGATCTGACACCTGAGTGATAAAACATTGTACGATTGCTTTCTAACATTGACAGTCAATGAAAATAAAAGTATGCTCATGCAACTTTTACTTTGTTAAACTGTATTGTATAAACTGGACCCCTATATAGGTATCACTAAAGTCAAAGAAAAAAGAAAAAAAGATAATCCCTATCTACTGACCCTAAGTTTTTCAGGACTGAAACACAACATGTTCTAATGCAAATATGGAATGAATCTATTTTTATTGTTGCATGTGCTGTAATAGAATACAGAATTTTAGGTACAAACTCATCTCTGTGAGGTGAAAGTCTACACTGAAATTGAGATACATGTACATGTTTTCTCTTGTCTTACTCTATTTGATGTTGTTTGACAAGTTTTCTTCTGCCTGTGTTACAGACAGGGATCACCAACTGGTTGCTGAGATACAGTCAGAAGTCTAAATGTTCCTGCTGATACTGTCAAACAGTATCCTCCAGTGGACAAGGGGGAGAAAGCAATGCCCCAGCGCCACCTAGCTTTCTTCAAAAGAAGCACAAGGACAGGCTAGGCCTGATCAGTCTGAAGAAGTTCTAAAGTGTGTCAAGCAAAGAGATGTCAAAATTGGATCTGAAGAGAGAGAGAGGAGATAGAGAGAGAGAGAGAGAGAGATCCTACTTCATCTATATTTCTGAGACATCAAAATGGATCAGAAGTGCCTGGGTGTGAACTACCAGTACATGTAAGGCCATGTTGATTTGATTATATGGATGACATCCGCGTGCGCATGAATTTTTGGTCGTTTCCAAAAAAAAAAAGTTTTTAACCACACTGTAACGTTAAATCATACAAAACAGTTGCAAAATGAGAAAATACAAAATGTATATACCGTAAGTTGAAAAAAAAAATTACATTGGAAAATGATGCCAAAGTTGTACAATGCCAAAATAAAACGAAAAAGACAAAAATGTAAAGAAATGAATTTGAATACATTATTTGCCAAACCATACTTTGTGTCATTTGTTCAACCTTCAAAACCACTTAGATTTTATAATGAAAGCAAGTTTTTTTTTGCCAAACTTTTCTTTTTATTTGCACGCTCGCATTACTTTTAGGGTTCCCAGAGGATGTCATCCATATAATGAAATCAACATGGCCATAAAAAAATGAAATGAAAATGTGATGGCAAACAAATAATCACTGCTGCAGCAGTTATGGAGGCAGCTTAGCCAACACATTGGTTTATATCACCATGGATCAAAAGAACCCCATAATGGTGAAAACAATCACTGCAGTTCAAAGCTGGAGTAATCTCTCTTCAAAAGACAAACAACTTTAATTGAAGTCCCGATAAACTACATGGGGGCCTGCTTGCCTTTTTTTGTAAGGCGTAATAAGGTTTTTTAGTCTCGGTAATCCGTAGGCAGCCTCCCCAAAAATCAACGTAATTCGTAATAGAACATTAGCCGCAAAGTGTAAAGTCATAATCAGCTCTGAAACTTTACCGTAATTTGTAATCGGCTGCAAAAATTTCGCGTAATTCGTAATAACTAACCCCCCCATGCAGGCGCTCCTACATTTTTCCTTCTGGGTTCAGAAGTATTGTGTTGGGTGGATGACCTGTAGCATGACTAAATTGCGTTTGTTGCGGCCGCCCGCCCCAAAGGTTGATGCCCCCAGAGGTGGGGGTCATTAACCCACAGCCAAGAGCTTGTGCATTTAAAACACATGCTAGCTGACTTCATGTACAAGAAACAATGGTTGCATTTAGGGTTTACATCATACAATCCCCTCCACAGTTCCAGTATACGCAAGAAAATCCAAAACACTTATACCAGAAGTCTTAAATCTCTAATTCCTTGTTGTTATTAAGCACCCAGCACCGGTGCAATAGGTAGAGTGCTCGCTTTGTAACCGGGAGGTCGTGAGTTCAAACCCCGGTTTGGTCATACCAAAGACTTTAAAAATGATACACACTTCTTTCTCTGCATTCAGCACATATGAGAAAGAGTGTGGGAAGGTCAAACACACAACACTACCAGTGTGCTAGCCCCTTGCTGTAGTGCCTTGCACAACTGTGTGTCGCCCAAGGGCTACGAAATGGAGATGGGCACCACCCTACGCTCGGCATAAGAGCACGGGAGACCTTCATCTTCTTCTATTATGCACCCTATCCTTCTCCCGGCCCAGTGAGCTAGACTAATTAATTGAAAACTCAATGAAGCATAAGCTGAACATTCGAAATAATTAATTTAGCACACTCTCAAGGCACTTGTGTTCATGGTTTTGTACCATGCTTCAAGTTTGTCAAAAATCATACATAAAATCCTCCAGACAGTCCTTAAACAACAAAAGTTTTTTTTTGTTTTCTTTGCTGACTGAGAGGGCCCAAAATACAAATTTCAAAATGTCTGAGGTAACAAAATATTAGCAGGAAACTGACACAAGCTATAAGACATGTTGTACCAAAATGTCTATGACTTGGCACTTACTGTTGGTAAGATCAGTCCTTAGTTACTGCTGTTGGCTCTCTAAACTGTCAGAATTCCGCTGTTTCCAGTTCAACTGCTGAAGTCAGGAGAAACAACGACTTACCAGCTCGCAGGTCTGGTGTAGACTAATCTGCAGATTAAGTTGATAGCATGGTGATGAAACAGTGTGTATTTATTCACAAGTCTGTAACCATATAAGGGTAATCTCTGGTCCAATCACTATGCTGGACCAATCACAATTGCCCACCACTAGATCCATACATAAGCCCTTATGATCATAAGGCCACAGCAAGTAATTTTTATGGATGACATCAGCGCGCGCATTAATTTTAGCCTGATTTTGGAAAAAGAAAACAAGAAATTTTGTTGCCTTCTGACAGTGGTCACCATGCCGAAAGTGGGCAAAGATGTCTGCCATGCCGGAAGGTGGATAGCAGATAACTATGAAGAGAGGAGACAAGAAAAGGCTCTGATTTAATGTTTTGTTTCTTACTTTGATGCAGTGATATGTGATGCTGGCTGTGTATATGTGATGTTCCCACTGAATCAAAACCATTTGTACAATGATTGAGTTATAATTTTCAAATGCAGGAACCTTGTTTTTTTCGCCTGCTCGCATTAGATTTGGAGTCTGCGGAGGATGTCATCCATAAAATTTACATGCTGTGGCCTTATGATCATTATACAGGGAACATTATTTGAAGATTGTTTACGCATACAACATATTGCAAATGATATACAAACACTACATTTGTGAGCAAGCTAAAGTGCAGCATATTTCACTCCATCTTCCCATGCAAAATTGGGCAATTTCATATCAGCTTGAGCTATAAATTGAGGTTCATTTCTTTATTTATTTTGAAGATTGTGTCTGTCCTTGGTGCTGAAAACATGATCCTTCAGCATTTTCACATTCCACGACATGTTTCTAACATTTGGTTCATACTTCATAGCCCATTTTAGCATGTAACATCTAAAATTTCTTACGGAACAGTCCTATCTATGAAATAGTCATTTTTCTCAATTTGCAAAGCATTCATAGTTTTGCATAACAAATTGTAGCTTGTTAGCGTTCTATGTTCCAAGCAGCTTTATGAATTGCCTGGATGGTGAAATATTACATGCTCTCGACCAAATTTTGGGCATGAAAGGTTTTAAAATCAAGTTGCCAAGAATGGACCTTATTTTAAGTTCATCTTTTGTAACAGAAAAAAAAAAGCAGTAGAAAATTGGTTGAAGGAGCCTCTAACAGTGTATTTGAGGTCAGGACATTGTTGGGGAATGTTTGGGCCATTACACTTTAAGTTAAATTTGCTTTATCCGATTGGCGATTGCCAAAATTTGGTCAGGAGAATACTCACAATTTTGGCGCCAAAATGGGTCTTTAAATTACTAGATCAGCTGGTTGGTGCACGTGCTTTTTTTACCCACAGTGCATCGCGCCGTGGACCCGCCATTTCCGAAGAAGAAGAAGACAAGATGGCGACTAGGCATCGCAGAGAAGAAATAACTCCCGGAAAATTCGTGCTTTGCGCCATGCAACGCCAAGTTCTGGAGGTGAGGACGATTTAACTTTGTTGTTTGTACGTCTGTGTCCTGCTTGGTCCGATATTTAGTGCAAATTTGACGTTTTTGTGTAGAATACTGAAAGGAAAGTGTTCTGGCCTCCGCACGTGTTGAAAATATTTCTGTGTCACTGTCAGCCACGTCTTTGAAAATGTGCAAATTTTACTTGGTATTTGACGTCTGTCTATTCTACTCTAACGTGTAGTAGGTCGAAGAAACGACCACTGTTCCCAGAAAGTTTCGTAAAACATTCTCATGCGCCTAATAAAAAATAATTTGTGTTGCCGATTTTGTCCACGTGTTCCGGGGAGCTAACCCACCCACCGCCACCCATACAAATTATGTACCACTATTTGTTGGCCTAAACTAATTTTATGGCTTTAGTTCGAATTAGACTACCTTTTTACGGGTAAACATGCATAAATCGTGTGCTGGTTTGGCACATTTCCCAACACGTAGGAGCAAGGGCCCCAGCATTTTATTTTTACAAGTTTACATATAGTAAAACAAAGGAGGACAACATCAGTATTAAGTTAAAACATAAAAGTCTATGAGATTGTATAAAAGCTATAATATTAACTATTGTACAACACTTTAAGCCAATGCTAAAACTTTCCTCTTATTCTGAGGCAGTCCTTTAGTACATTGATGATTGTCTTGTCAAAAATAAAACAACATCAGGATGCTAGCAGCTTGTTTTGCCTCTTGTCTATGAATTTACTTCTTCGTTGAGTGGAAAGGCATATAGTGGACAATTTTACAACTTTCTACCTTAAGTTCTAGTTACATGTATATATTTCATACATTTGTAGTTATAGTTGGGGAAAAACTTCATGCTTTTTTTATTATTGGTATTGCTATGGAGCATTGCTCAACTTGCTTTCTCAGCCAAACATACCAGGCCATCATTTTCTTCTCGATAAGATTGTTGTATCCTTTAACATTGTACATGTATGTACAAATGTTTAACACACTAAGCTTCCCCTTCATGGGACTCACACAGTTTTACTTCCACACCCATATCCTCTAGATTGTAAAAAATATAATTACATGTATTATGCCTTGAGATGGTTTACTGGTTAATACATTCTTACAAACACACTTATCACAAAAACACATGTCTTCAAACTTACCCTCACGTCAAGACGACTAATTCTACCCAATTTAGTTTTATCACACATATTTTGAACATTGTTTTTTTTTATTAACTTCAAAGTTAGCTGTCAAGGCCATAGCTTGTGTTTTTGTACTTGCCTAGGGGGAAATAGTTGCACTCACTTCACACACATAGTTAGCCTTAATGTTGCAAGAAGCAGCAGTCCACTTGCCTACGTGGTAAATGTTAACAGACAATACAGTACAGTCCACGCCGGGGTTAAACATATGTGAAGGTTGGCGATTATGCCAGTTTGACCAGCCTGCAAGCGGCGTCCCATCCTCCCACATCAAGACTCCGTGCTGTACCTGGTCTGTCAAACCAATCCAGATGACCACCTGGAATTTCCATAAGACAGGGTTCTGAATCTGAAATTGTTCGACCAGGAAGTCGTTTGTTGCCTTGTCTTTAGGCATAACCAGGTGCCCATCATCGGCTTCACAAACAGACTTGGCATCAGTGTAGTTCTTAAATTCAGAGGAGAATTTGAAGCACCTGTTCTGGAACTGTACATAATAGCCTCTGGGACATGACAAGACACTGGTGAAGACGCCACTTGAGACGCTCAAGACGCCACTTGCAGACTTGCTGATGCAAGCTGTAAGGTAGAGGATAAGAAAATACTTCATGCTACATGTACATAACTACTAACAGTAACTATAAATCTTGAAATTCTAGTACCTGGTCTGAGAGATTTTCTTTTCAGAGGCACTGTGAATACACTGACAGTTGCATTGTTTTACCACTTTAATATTGTTTCAACTATGAATTTAAAACTCTCAGAAAAGCTCCTTTCTCCATCTATCATTGCCAGAATACATGCAAGTCCACGCCCCCACTCCTGCAAGAAAAATAAAATTAATGTACAAGTCTACACGATGTTGTACAGCACACTTTCAGCTATGATTTTAGAAACTTGCAAGCAAACTGCATAGTTTGCAACAATACAGTTATTCTTTACATCTACATTTAGCTGTTTTTCAGTTAATTTATATTGTACATGTATGATATAATTATATTGCAAAACTGACCTTTCTTATGGAGCCAGAGTTCTGTGGTCACATTCCTGAGCTGCCTCTGTAAGTCAGCGTTATGCTTCTTTAACTCAGCAATAAGAGCCTCCTGAAATGATAAAAATTGTTTTCAAAGAGAATTTTCAATCTAGATTTAAACTCTTCAAGGTCAGTGTAGGGACTTGGAACAGACTTACACTTACCTGACTGGCACATGACGTGTCTCCTCCTCCCATGTTGTGCCCAGGCAGGTTGATGTTAATGTTGACAGGGCCGTTCCCAGACTTTCCATCAATCACTTGCCCTGAAGCCTGCAGCATAGGCACCAGAAGTGCCAAGATCATAAGCACCATTTTCGTGCTCATGGTTCCTTTTCCATGGACAAACTTAAAATTTTTCAGCAACTTTTCTAACTGCGCCACTGCTGTCTCTCCAGGGATTGATACCTAATACACTTGTTGTTGACATTACCAACGTAGTTCAAAGTCTATACCATCTACCATAAAAGCCTGGAAACTTAAGACTGGTGGTTTTTGTTAACGTTTTTTTTGCATCTCATGGTTGAAGCAAGGGTGTCAAGAGAAGGTCAATAAAGACCTTCTGAAACTCAATGTATTAAGTTAAACATTATTTGGTTGCGTGGGGGGGGGGTTGTTTCCCTTTACTTCTACAACATGCCTATAACATACTTGTGATAGTTGTTCTGAACTAACACACACTGTCACCTGAATACCTTGTACATCACACCTTGGACACTTAGCAGCTTTTGTTACCTTTGTAGGTCACAGAGAGGTGAATATGTCTTCACTAGTATTGATTGTTCCAGTTAATCTGATATGCTGAAGTTCACATACAGACTGATAAGTTTTTGCTTTGGATGGATTTAATCTCCATGTGTTCCCTCAGGCATTAAACTTCTACAAATGTAAAAGAACCCAACGCACTCACTGAGTAGAGAAGGGGTGATCCAATGTCTCTCTCTTTCTCTAAGACTATCTTTGCCAAAAAGGCAAGCTGCTATAGTCACCAAAAAGACTGTTAAACCTAGACTCATTCTGAGGATGGATGCTTTACAATCATTGTTTTAGAGCATTGATAATTTTAATGTTAGGCCACACCGACTTAATTGTATGGATGACATCCGTGCGCGCATTGATTTTTGCCTGTTCTAAAAAAAAAAAGATCACGTCCTCCGAGGCTCTGGCCTGGCTCTAGGCCTGGGTAGTCTATCATAGGTAGTTAGCAACGATACTGGAGGATGGCACCAAAGCTACTGAAACACCACGACTCGAGAACAGAACAGTACATACGTACAGTGCCAATTCATGAATTCCGCAAGAAGCCAGCATGTGCCTGCTTGTCATTAATGTCGCTATATACTGCCGCAAATTAACAATACCAGCTTTGTATTCCTATGGTTTAGTAGCATTTTTATTTTTGTCCGGAATTTTTTTTTTGCCCACGCCTGTCAGTGTGGCCTTACCTTGAATAATAGGCTTGTTTCCATTTGGTATCTTACCTCAGATGTATTTTGATGAGATTGTCATTTGGTCATGGCATTTTATGTTAGCACTTTTGGTTGTTCTTCTTTTTTCCTCACTGGAAACAACTTGTTTTCTTGCCCCAACCCAACCCAAAGCAGATTTTAGAACCATTGTGAATATTGTTAAAATGTACAATGTATCTTCAAGTTGTCCAATGACAGGAATTTGAATACTATTGGTGTATGTAAATTTGGCATGTAATTTTTCTAAATGAGTTTTCGTTTTCACCATAGGCTCTCGGAATACTGTCAGCTATCCTGTGTTCCCCCATATTCCTGGAGGATATTCCTGTTACTGAGGGACCTGTCACCTATCTACAAGAGAAGAGAACATCGGACTTGACTGTGAGTTGGCTTTTACTTGTAGAATTCTTTCGAAACAGAGGTCTGCATGCCGCAGTGCGTAATCAGCCATTTTAGTGTCGCCGGGTCGTTCTGATGTAATGTTAAAATATTACACGTCCTTTGTGCTGTATGGTTAAAGCGTCGAGCTTGTATGAATTAAGCATGTCATTGCTTTGCAGAAGTTTGCATAATTTGAAGTCGTGCGTTAAATGTAATCTACGTGTAAGCGTTCTTAGAATTTTTGCATAATTTGAAGTCGTACAACTCTTAACTGTCAAAAGTAAATCGTGGCCACTGCTTTCCGGGATTTAGCGCAAAGCGAGATCGGGACCTTCCATGCAGACCCCTGATAAAAAATGACAACAAAAGTGTACGGATAGGGCATCTCTGTGGTCCTCTGAATTTATAGTTTATTTTCTAAAAATCATGATTATATGATTGTTGAAACTAGCCCTTCCTGCTATTTGTTGTCATTTCTGAAAGAGTTCCTTGTACTCATATCTAGTTTAAGGTTGTGACTAATATGACGGTGAACACTGCAGTACATTTTCCTATTGAAGAGAGCACTTGTAATATTGTCTGTTGTTTCATTCTGTATAGCAATGGGAGGTATTTTCAAAAGCATTTTGTGATCAAACTGTTTTCCCTGATATCCTCTCCGTCATGATCCATAATCTCCATCATAATACACAATAACAATTTTCAAAAATCTTGGAAATAAAAATTGTCCTTCATGTGACGATAAGTACTCTGTTTAACAAATCATTAAAGCAACAGTGTTTTGGGCAAATATTTTGTAGCAGAAAAAAACAGAAAATTAAATGGAATAAAGAGCTGGACAGACAAGATTTGGCACTTTTTGTTACCTGACAATAATATTCTCAACTGATTTTCAACCAAATACAATGATTTGGAACGTATGACAATCCATAATGCATAGCCACAAATGTACGTACATAATATACAAAATGTGAGTTGAAAGTAGCATTTCAGCACATAACTTGCCGGATGTAAATAATGACAAATAGAAGAGTGTATCCAACCATTTTTAGTACATATTTGACGTTATTTTATTATCCAAAACATTGAAGATAAGATAATATTACAAACATACATGGCAGTGTGAGATTAACTGGAATCGAAATTATTGAACTCAATCAAAAACTCAAAGGAGCATTTTTGGACAGAAGCGAGGATTTTATTTCGTCAGACTAAACTGTTACGATTGACATACATGTGAAATATATAATCAAGGAGGTTATATCAAGAGAAGAGCGCAAACTGTTTTCATTATTGTTGGACCCTCCCTGCTTTTTTGAAAGTCCGTTATTGAGGAAGAATAAGACTGACTCTTTCAAGGTTGGGTATAATTTTGTTACTAGTTACTAGTACCAAATGTCCTTGCTAGTGCGTCTTGGGTTCTCTCGTATTTCTCCCATTTTGGTCGATTTATTTGGGTTGACGTACCGACTGATAATTTCTTGACAGTCACTGTTTATTGTAGGATATTCCCAGAAAGATTACTCGCAAATTTCTCCATGCAAATGCAAGTCAGCCAGCTGCAGCAGAGTTTTACTTTTGAGAAATCTTTGCCCGGTCTCAAAATTGCTAGACTCAAAATTTCGCCATAGGAATTTGTCATCCTAAAGCTGTGCCATCAGGGGTGCCAGAGTATACAGTGCAATTTTACGGAATACAGTGCAATTTTACGGAATACAGTGCAATTTTATGGAATACAGTGCAATTTTACGGAATACAGTGCAATTTTACTAGTGAAGTTGAATCACGTGACTTGGACCCGGCTTTCCCTTGAGTTTCAAGATGGCGGACGCTGCTGACTCATATATTTCTGTCTTTTTGGAGCCCTGTGTAGTAACATGCCCTGTGTGTAGTATGTAGCTGATTTGACTAAAGGTCTATCAACGAGAATGGTCCAAATTCGCTCGAAAAACACAGAAATATGTGAGTACATTCCGTCAGCGGCGTCCCTGGAAAGCCGGGCCCAGGTTACGTCATTCAACGTCACTAGTAAAATTGCACTGGATTACATAAAATTGCACTGTATACTTAATACAATTGCACTGTATTCCGTAAAATTGCACTGTATATTCTGGCACCCCTGGCCACGTTGTTGAAAATAACCGGAATAAGATTAAGAAACAGAAAACACCATGCCTCCATGGGATTTGTGCGTACGATTACAAGTGTCTTGACATGTATACATGGGTCACGAATTATATTTTCACACCTGCTACGAACATTGCTAAAATGCTAGTAAAATCAATGCCGTGCACATGCTCTCTCCCTTGATTTTAAACCTCCTTGATTATATGATAGAGAAGACAGGAACATCATCAATATCGATTTAAATGAATGCCTAATTTGGATAATTAATGACAAAATATTTCATAGTGAAAACTACGCTCGATGAGTACTGTATATAAAAGTTGGATATAAACTGTTCTCAACAACAGGCTAACCCAGTAATTCGAGTGTTAAAACTAGTTGGAGATAAGTACAACAGTTTTTGTAAAGAAATGGCCTGCATCGATCACATTTAAACAGTATACATGTATGTCATATATTGCGGGTTATGATCAAATTAGGCCATGTTGCTTTGATGATATGGATGACATCCTCTGGAACCACAAAACTGATGCGAGCACGCAAATTTTGGTAGTCATGGAGGTTGAACAAATACCTAAACACAAACTCGAGAGTATGGTATGGTGAATAATAGACTTTTATTTCTTAAAATTTTCTTCTCTTCGGCCAAAAAATTCATGCACACGTGGAAGTCATCTACAGAATCAAATCAACATGGCCTAATTGATCACAAAATTGATGCCCACCGAATTCGACTTTTGCTTTAGTTTCAAACACGGTTCAAAACAAAAAGTACTGTTACATAATTGCGTCTTTAATGCCAGCTTTTTGCGCTTCTTTCCGGCTTAACCGTAATAGGGTGACTCAAAAAACAAACTGTAAAATATTTCAATCATTGAACATGATAATGTCCACTTCGAGGCTGAGAACGCTAAACTATGTTCTAAATGTTAACAGTAATTTTACGTTACATTTTCGTCTTTTTCATTTAATTTTGGCATTCTACAACATATGTATAGTTTCCCAAATTTTTTTCTTTAAACTTAATAGTATATATTTCCTCATTTTTCAACTGTTTTGTACGATTTACAGTTTGGTTGAAAACTTTTTTTGTGGAAACAGCCTAAACTTAGTGCACACACGGATGTCATCCATATAAAACTTTCCTGTATAATCAAATCAACATGGCCTAGGCCGGTGTTTTACACCAAGGGGCGGTTATATCGATACAGATAAAGTATAGGTGAACCATACTCAAGATTATTTATATGTACTAGTATATCAACATAATTTATGAAAACAGAGGGCATTCCACAAAGATTTTATTGGAATAATATATAATGAGTGATGCACACAATACATTGTTACAATAATATTCTCAGTACATTTTGACTGATGGAGTGGATTTCAGGGAAAATACTTGGGTCACGTAATGATT